GTAGTTTTGTTTGTAAATCGATATCTATGTTATTATTAACTTGAAATTTTTTTTTTACTGAACTTAAATTATTTTTACTGAATAAACTATTATATCTTCTCATTAAAACTTATTTTTACTGATTTTCTATTATTGTTTAAAATAAATTAAATATATTACAAATGGATCTTATTTTGAAGAACTTTTTAAAAATAAATTTTATGATGGATATAGAACCGAGTTACAGGATATTTATTAAAAGTGATGATTAATTTTGTATATATGAACTATTAGAAATATATCGATATTAAAACTCTATACAACATTTTTATCTTAAAAAATCTATCCAAAATTCGCTTACTTAGCATCATATATGTCACAATAATACCTATTTATCGCCTACGTGGCACGACACTTGACGAAAAACTGGAATGTCAAGTGTCACTGTCTCGTGGCCTGGCTGCGAGACCGACTTCATTTATTAGTGATATATGATATGATATTAGATTTATAATGTAAACCGACAAGACGACAAAAGACAAAGAAATTTTTTAAAGAAAATCATATCTTAACCCGCACTTGATACCACGATCATAAATGATAAGAAGAGATTATATATTATCGAGGGTTATTAATTTGATTATTACATCATGGGTTTACATAGAAACCTAACTGAAACATGCATACACTTAAGACGAGGTATTATGAACTCATACAAGTACCAACTGACAACTCTAGTTTCGTAAATTAACATACAATAACTCTTATCATCACTCCTCACACAAGTATTATATTGATACCAATATGCAGCAAGTTTCAATTGGCCCATCTAATAGGCCCACTCGTTGGCTGATCTTTTTTCATCTTTTTTATGTAATACTTGTACAATACACATCTCATTTATTCCGGTACGCATTGTTACTACGTGTTAAATGCCACTTTTACAGAAATAAAATGTGCTAGTTATTTAAACGTAAATAAAGTTAGAGATAAATTATATCTGTATAGAAAGGCAATTATTTTGGGATTTCTTGTCTGTTACATTAAGCCTTCCTCAAGTTTCTATCCATAAATCCAAAATAATAACATAAATTCTTCAAAAAGGCGGGTGTACGTTAATTTATTGTAAGACGGGTTAAAAATATTATAAAAATATTTAAAGCTACCCTTTATACAATAAAAGTTATTATTTTTTTAATAATTAATTTTATCTTACAAAAAAACTTATAATGTATTAGATTAATCATATCAGCCTTTATATTATGTTATCATGAATTTATAAGAAATTGCAAATTAAATTAAAATTCAAACCAACGACTATTAAAAATTACCCTTTACGTGGTTAAAATTACCTTCAAACTGACCATTTTATAATAAAATTAACGTACATCCGCCTTATACAAGACTTATATAAATAACAATTGCATGCGTTAAGGTTATAGGTACACCTATTGGTTTAATTTTCTTACTTGTATGCCCATCCAAAGTTCATGTCACCCTCAAGATATATCTAGTAACCTAGTTTATAGATTGAATTGTCAATTTTAGCATATTGGGACTTTCATATGCACTAGGTATTAGAATACACTGTATGTAAATACATTCTGTCACTAGGAACTCTCCTCGTGAGAAAGAATTACAAATATTTCTTATTCTTACCTATTAAAAAACATGGTGAGTTTTATCCCTCAACTGATCATGAATTTCCTTTTTTTTTTTTGAAACCAACTGATCATGAATTTCTAAGTAAATAATACAGTTGGTCCTTGGTTGGATCAGCATGGCTAAGTGGAATTTGGGGTCCTAGAGATGGTCTAAGCCCACTCTTGTATAGACATGACATGAGAAACACTTTGATTTGAAATTAACCTATTTTCAAAATCCATATGTATATTAAAACTCAATGGGAAGACATGATCCCATCATGTGTCATTATTACTAGGCTGATGATATGGCGCCATATCATACCATTATTATTATCATTAAACAAAAATTAACAATTGTTAGCATTAATGTTTGAACCATGAGTCCATGACCTTATGTTCATTACGAGGTATATTTAACTTCTACCACTACTCTAATTACACATCTTATGTTTAAAATATTTTGTTAAAAAGTGTTAATCATATTCATAAACTTCAAGATTTAAAGTTTAATTTTATACATGTATATATAACAACAATCTAAAATAACAAAAATTAATCTACTTTCTTTTATTTGCTCATACACACATATATATATATGTATTGAACTTTTTTAGCTAATGCTTTGTTTTTTTTTCCTATTCCTAACCCAAAATATGTATTGAACTTTTTAAGATAAAGTTTTTTTTTTTTCTATAACGATTGAAAAACGAAGTAAACTAATAATTTTAGGATACCAGTATTGGATAATATAGTTTGATGTTCAATGAATATAATTGGAAAAAATATTTTATATAGTACTAAAATAAATGTAACTAATTTAATTTATATTTATATATCATCACATAATTTTTATTATAAAATCTTATTTTCAATATATATATAATGATTTGTGGCATCGCCTAGGCCAAAAGCTAGTTAATATATTAAATATTATTGCTATCTTAAATTTAAAAGATATCTAACATTAATTAGGGGTGGTACCGAGTAAGGCTTTGATCGGTCCCCCTATATTCCACCCATGTCAAAAGGTATATCAGCCGAACATATATATGTTATTCTAAAAATCCAACATAAGATTAAGAAATGGCCCACTATTTTTAAAAAAAATGAAAAATACATGTATACGCATATAGTAGCGAATGACATAGTACGTAAACTCTATCCATTTAGTAAGCATGGCTTCTTTGAGGACCAAAAACGGATCGTGTCTAGCCTAAGTCTAATCAACTTACAAATATGTACCACCTAAAATGATGTACACTATCAAAGCACGTCAATACAACCCATGCCTAAAAGTACAATGTGAGAATTATAATGTGTATACTCCCTTTATTTCGTAATAATCGCAATACTTTCTTTTTACATCCGTTTTATAATAGTTGCAACACTTTTTATTTTAGTAAGGACCCACTACTATTTTATTATTTCTCTCCCCCACTTATCCTACTTGCACAAATATTTAATCATTTCTCTCTTACAAACCCCACTTATACTACCTTTTTATTATTTCTCTCTCATACTAACAATAAAATATATTCTCACTAACTATATTTTATGTTATAAAATTCACCCTATGATCCTACCTTATAAATTTCCTAAAACTTTGTGCAAGATCTACTGTTGCGATTAATACAATATGAAGGGAGTACTATATATAAATTAAAAAAAAAAGTCTCATACATTGACATGCAAATAAAATCATGAAAACCAATAAAGAAGAAACAAGCAAGTAAAAGTAGAATGTAGAAGCTTAACTTGGATGATTTTGATGACTTTTGGGCGGGCATGAAAGTTGAGACATGCATGCAATAATATAATTGCAATGCAAAGCAAATAACAAAAATCTCAAACTCTGGAGCTTCCTTTTGTAATCATACGTCAACATCACTTGATAACAAGTCATACACATGACAAATACATATACACCCCATTAATTTTGATTTTTTGTCTTGGAAAATTAAAATAACGCAGGCCACACTATTCATGGATTTGCTCTCTTCTTACATTCTCTTTTTATTTTCTCTCTCCTAAATAAAGCTACGAGTAGTAGGTAAGTTATTAGGGTCCTGAGAATGTTAACCAAATTAAATATGACCCGTCAACTTAGGCGACCAGACCCATCTCTTTCATCTTCTCTCCATTTTTCCCTTCCTTTGTCTTTTCTCGATTTCAATTCTTATTTCATCCATACTTTGTACTACATATATAGGTGACCATCTTATGACATACGGAGTAACACTGTAATTTAGGATTATCAATCAAAGTTGATCTAGTGGTTAGAGGTCAGTGCATTCTTTTCAAGCCAGTAAAAGAGGTTTGATTTTCTTCCCTATCAAGTGGAATCCCTTAAACTCCGTACGTAATTTTCTCTCCACTTTGAATGGATTTCTTTAATACGAAGTACAAAATGGGGTCAACTAGACTCATTGACCTAGGTACATCATCACACGTTTACCTACCTCTACTTCCATTGACATTGGCATATATGCTTAGTAGAAACATTATAACAAATGAATATTAATTAATAAACTATTTTTATTGCGACAATTCCAATAAATACAAGACTGTAAGAAGTTTTTTTTTTTTTTTTCTCATGAATAAATTACTAATATTAATCAAAGTGGAGTGAGTGAATAGTGTGTAGAATTTCGAAACTTTCACTTAAAATAAAGATCACGGAGAAAGTAGGATATCTTGAATTCTTTGCAACCTTGGATTTGAAGAATATCTATTCTAGCTACTCCGTAGAAGCTAGTGAAGTACTGTATAGTTGTATGTTTTAAATAGCTAGTGAAGTAATGTATATATTGTATTCTTGTAATAAATTGATCACATCAAAGTTAAAGATAATTTTCATTATACACTCCAGTTTGTCATATTTTAAGCTATTATTTTTAAAAAAATAATAATAAAAAAAAAGCACACACGCACGCATTTGTTCATTTCATCTGTTCTAATTATTTAAAATGTACATAAAAAATAATACCGAATATTCCACGTGCATATATACACATACGTGTATTTTTTATAATACCCTAAAGTTAAGTACTCCTTACTTTGAATGTTGTCCATTTATCTCCCTTAAAACTACACAAACCCATAAATTTATTAGGGAAACAGTCCATTATTATATTTATATACTATACCAATCAATATTGCATTTTAAAATAATACCTCAACATTTAAAAAAAATACAGCCAAAGTATATAAATGTAACATTGTCCAAGTGCATTATAAGGAAATTCTCCATTTCCCTATACCTACATGGCTACATTATAAGATTGTGTCTTTCCGTGATATCTTAACATCAATCAATCAACATTACACTATCATACTTTGAAAACTAAAAAAGATTAATACTAAAAGTAGTTATAAATCAGTCATAATATTTATGATATAAAACATCAGTTACTACAAAAAGGCATCTGAAAATTGTCACTCCAAAATGAAGTCAATCACGTGACTTTCCCACAGTTTAATAATAAGTAAACTGCTAAAAATAGAAACTTAAATACATTTACTCTAAAAACAGTCTCATTTAAAGAAACTGATAATAAGGAAAAGGATTGTTGTTGTTACACACCAACAACTTAGGCATATCATGAATGCTGCTACTACTACTACCACCTTTCTCATGATCATTGTTATTAGTCGTCGTAAGACATGAATTATTCTCATCGTCATCACCATCGTCGTTGTTGTCATTGTCGTCGTCTCTTACAACTGGAAAGAGTTGTAGGGTAGGAGACGACGGCCGCCTTTCGCCAAAGTCATCACCACCATTGTTAATAATGTTAAGATCTTTGGAAGTAATTATGGAGGGAAAATTATGTTTAGAGGAGAGAGAAAACGGAACAGAAGAAGGGAAACAACAAGAACAAGACAATGGTTGGACCATCATAATATTATTATTATCATGAGTAGGAGTAGTAGTAGTTTGCCACGTGGAATTCCTTTCTCCTGCAAATAATAAATTTTTTTCACTTAAAATAATATTGAAATTATTAATATTATTATTGGTAGTATGATTATGTTGGAATTCATGGAATTGGATCCAACCATCAGATGAAATAGGATTTGTCGTGATATCTGATTTTGTTAGGGCTGCTGCTTCTTCTGATATTTGTATTGGTGGATCAGATTCTTCCTGCTCAGCATGCAAATAATAATTATTCAGTAATGATAATATACAACTATACAATTCTATAAATATAAAATGAGCCATATATAATTTAATTTAACAAGTTTAATTTGTACTCCGTAAATTTTTTCATTGCAAATCACATAAAAGTTGATACTCCCTTTGTGTTTTAATAAGTGTTACAGTTTGACCAAATACACATGTCGAGACACGATTTTAACCATTAATTTATCTAATTATATGCTTGTAAAGCTATAGGAAAATTGATATTATCAAAGTATACATTATAATGAATTCAACAATGTATTATACAATAATATTAATTTTAAATATTAGTAAATTAATCAAGTCAAAATAATTATGTAAATAGTGAAAAAAGACAGAGTGTGACACTTATTGTAACATAGGAGTATCGCAAATTAATATTGTAAATAAGACACTTGTCGCAAACAAGCTAAGATAAATGTCGAAAATGATAACACTAAAGCTAAAATTGGAGTACGTCCTCAAAACATATATACCAAACAATTCATTAAATAATAATGTAACAGTACTTATTGTATGTGTGCAAGTGATCATTTTTGTCCATAAAATTATTATACGGATATTGTATGTGTGAGATGAATTATACTCCCTCTATTCCAAAATATATGACACAGTCAAACATTGAACACATGTCAATGCACTAGTTTGACTTTATTTTTATATAATTAAATATTAATGAAAAATATTTTTAAAATTATATTATGAAACTTTATATTAAAACCTATCTAACAACATATTTTATGATAAAATATATTTTTACTATGTTAGTAAAAAATTATGGTCAAACCTAATACATAAATAGTGAAAAAAAGTCTAACGTCTCATGTATTATGGGACGGAGGGAATAACTAAATGTATAAATATGATATAAATGATACACCCGTTGTATGCAAGAGGTAGCTAGCGAGATAAGATACACTCCGTCTGTGTGAAATGTTATAAGATGTGAAAGCACACACCAAAACAAGTCAATAAATACTGTGAACATATTGTACGAGTTATAGTTGTTGACAAAAATTACAAACTTACAAATAAAAAAAAAACACTAAATTTAACCCTAGTATAGCCTTTTCCCCTTCACATGCTTAAAAAGTGAGGGTAATTGAGTCAATTAAGTAGGTGAAAAATCATGAAAAAGGTAGGGTTTTGTTTTAATTTTAATGTGTGGGTGAAAATTGAAATTGAAATTGAAAAAATGAAGGGAGTTGAAAACAGAAAACACAAAAACACAATCAGAAGGAATTGAAAGAAGAAAAGGAAAAGGCATGCAAAGGTCCCCCGACAGAAAGAAGGAAGGCAGCTTTTTGATTCTTTTCATTTCCCAACAAATTTTGCTTTTTCTCCATCATTCCCCAATTTTATTTTTTTTTTACTTTTTATTTTTAATTTTATGTTTTTTCATTATTTCTTAATCATACAATATAAGGTCGTACAAGTTTTTAATTACATGAATCATAATGATTGTCTAATCATCAAATAATGGATTATAATCTATTCTAGGACATGTACCATGCACATTATGACGTAATCATAACGGGTAGATTGTCCTATTATGTTACCATCCCTTCAATTACGAAATTTGAAGAAATTTAAACATTAAACTATATACACGTACAAGATACTTAATTACTGCTTATTGTAGATTGTTTTCTATGGAGTAAAAGTTTAGGAACCTTGTATGTTCTAATTATGATTAGTTTACTCGAGAACCCACTAATTAATAAATTACTGAAATCCGTAAATTTTTAGTGAGTTAATAGTTTGACTATAGCAAAGATTTTGCAAGAGTATATTCTTCTTTTTAGGGGGAAGATTCAAAAAGGGGATTACTCATTGAATAAGGAAATATTTTCAAAAAATATAAAAAGTAGTTAAAGAAAAAAGAAAAAATGAAAATTGGGATTCACACCTTGTTTGTAGATGATTGTGCCCATTTGCAACTCTTTTGCTCACCTTCAAAACCTATCTTACTTCCTTTTTTTTTTTTTTTACAGGAAAAAAATCAACAAAATTATAATTAGGAAATTAAATATAAATAAATAACTTAGAAGTTATAGAACACAAAAATGAACAAGCTTAATTAGCAAGGTACACTATGTTGTACCAGAAGGTGGTTGAAGAGGAAGTTGAAGTTGACGACGTCGTTTTTGGCGTTCCCGGGCCTTATGATTTTGAAACCAGTAGAATACATTCTTGCCCTCTATCTTACCATAACGGCGAAGTTGAGCAGTGATGTGTTGAATTTGCTCGGCCGAAGGCGTTCGAGTGCCACGCCTATACAACTCCTCCAACGCCCTCAGCTGCTCCGGCGTTGGGTTCCACCTTGAACTCACCATGACTTGATGTGTTCCCACTGCCTCCTTACCTTCTTCTGATCACGTGAAACAAATTACATTAAAACTTTTATTCTAACTACTACAAACTTGTAACATTACTAGTCAAAAATTACAATATCAACGTGACTAAATATTATATACAATGTTAAACTTGTAATGTTACTAGTTAAAAATTACAGTATTGACATGACTAAATATTATGTACGAAAAAGTATGAAATGCTTACCAAAGTGGTGTTGGTGGCGAGTGGTGGTGGTGTTGTTTAAGGAGAGAATGTGGTGATTAGAAGGTTTATTATGAAAATTTGTAGGGTTATGATGAAAACCCGTTAAACAAGTGGTGTTAACATTGTGATTAGGAGTTGGAGATGAGAGAAAAGGCCTCGGAACGAGAGGTTGAAGCTTACGACCGCCTTTGAAAGGATCTCCCAAGCTATGATCTTGGTTAGCAACTTCATTAAAACCCATCATAATTCTTCTTCTAGCTTACTCACTTTGTGTAGAGAATATAATGCAATGCAACAATATATTGTTACAAAAAAAAAAAACCTAAGTAGTAGTAGTTGTTGTTTACACTCTTATAAAGAGAATAAATAATAAATAAGGGGTGCAAATATTTATAAAAATAGTAATATTTAGAATGAAAATGGAAAATTGTGCAAGAGTAAGTGAAAGAGATGGATCACATGAATAGTAGAAAGAGAAGGTTAGAATTAAGAGGAAGGGTATGTTTTGGGAGTTTTGAATAAAAGGGTAAAAAATTAAATAAAATGGTTAAAGAATATAGAGATAATAATCCTAGTTGACTGCAATAAAAGGCCAAGAAAAAGACAAAAAATTAAAGGAAAAATTAAGAGTGGCCAAAAAAAAAAATTTAGAAAAAAATGAAGGCGTGGAATTCTGAAGTTATTGGGAGAAGGGAAATAAAAAGGACGTGACGAGGAGGGAAGGGTTATGATAAGCCTCATCATTTCATAAAAATGCAAATATAAATAGTGAGTGATTCATATAATATGATAAAAATAAATACAAGTATATACAAAAAGTGTTACTAGCATACATAAAAAGGCATTAAATTTGATTGTTGGTCTCATGTTTAGTAACTTTCACACTTATTCTAAATCCCAACTGCCCCCTTCTTCTTGTCTATTTCTCTCCTAGCTTTCTCTCTCCTCCAAACATATTTCACAATTTTCTTTTTGTAAGTAATTTTTCAAGGATGTAATAATCTAATGTAACGGAAAAATCTTGTATAATAGATGAGTTTGATAAAAGACATGGGTGACACGTGCTCCACCATTTTATTAGAAGAAAGTCATAATTAAAAAACGAAAATAATATAAAATGAGACATGCATTAAATTGACGGTGCTCTACTACGAGTAGTTTAATAATCTTAGATTCGCTTCTATCTTATATAAAGTGAGCTTACAACATGTTAGTAGCCAAATGTGTGTATCTATCTAAATTGTAATCATTTGAATTTATTTGCTTTACATCAAGTATATGGACTTATGTCCTTTATCCAAACTTTTTAGAACTTACTAGTTGAGTAAGCATACCTTAAATTGGACTTCAATTAGTTGTGCAATGTGCCATTACTTGTTCATGTGGAAAAATAGGATCATTGGGTTTTTATATGACTAGAGACCAAAAATTTTAAAATATAACAATCATATGATATCTACCATTATTTTATCATCTAAACTAATATCTATGATTAGAAGTCTTATCTTGCTATCTGCTCATATAAGCTAAGATTCAATTCTCCACTCAAATATATCTAAGTTATGTAGTCCCATTAATCAAGTGTTATGTGCAAATTCGCCACTCAAATAAGGCCACAAATAACAACAAAATCACTAATAGGCTCAACCAGTGGCGGACCTGGGCTTGTGCCTGGTGGGTCAAGTGACTCACCAGGGCCCAAAAAAAATTCTAAGTTTTCTTTTTTTTTTTTAAAAAAAAAATAAAAAATTCTAACTTCAGCCTGTTCCCCTTTCACCTTCTCCTCGCCGCAGCTGCAACAACATTTCGCGTTCCCCTTTCATTCTCCCTCCTCATTCACTAATGGTCATGGTGGTCGTGAGAGATAACGACTGTGTGGTTTGATTTCTAGGATTTTTTTTGGTGTTCATGGTATGAGCTTCTTTAAACTTTCCCCTCTAAATTTCAAATTTAAGGTTTCTTTGCATAATTACTAGTTCAAATCTTTGATTTTTTTTTCGATTTCTAGGGTTTCGATTTGTAACTGTTGGTGGTGGTGGAGAGCAGCGATGGTGAGGTTCGATTTGTGCGTATAGATATGCAAAGTAGCTAGAATTTTGAATGTGTTTGGCTTCATGTGTGTTTTTCATTTGCTAATTGCCTAATTTAATTTACGATTTGGGGATTTTTGATGTAGGTTTTCTGTATTTGATTTAATTATGTCATTTTTGTTTAAATTTGTGTTTTGTGCCAGTTTTTGCTCGGAAAGTTGAAGGGGTTTTGTTATCTACTAATGGGTAGTCAGGATTAGCTGATTTTTGTGTGAATAAGGATTGTTTTGAAGTTTAATTAGCTTAATTTATGTGGAATTTGTGCTCAAATAAAGTACTTGATATGAGCTATCTGTATAATCATTTTGTTTGCTTAAACTAAACAATTTCGTCTAAAAAAAGTAGAAATTGAAGATTGGTTTTGAGTCTTTTGACTGTGTTTAGTTATAGTTTTGTCTAATTGTCTTCATTATAATTTTTAAGTCCCAAATGATTTATTTTAATATGATTAGCCGATTAGAAACTGAAGATTGGTTTTAATTAGCCGATTTGGGAATTTTTCCTCTAGAAACTGAAGTTGTGACCGGATATTTGAGCTATCTGAGTTGCCTGTGCATAGGTATTCTTTTGAGAGGTGGTTTCATTACATTTTGGTTTCTTTATGATCTCGCAGATGTAATTTGGACTACAAATTTTGAATCCCTGACAAATAGGACTTTGAATTTATGAAATTATTATTAATAAATTTAGACAGTTTACCCGTAATTTGATCTAGATTGTTTGTGTGGGTGATAGCTGTTTTGCCTCTGCTTTGATTATGGCGTATAGATTCCAAGAGCTTATTGATTATTTGTTCTAAATTGATCTGTTACATATTAGCTGTATGCTTTGCCTAATTGTATTTTAAGAGAACAGCTTCTATTTCCACTGTTTTTGGAGTTTATTTGTCCCCGGTTTAAATTTGTGTTTTTTCCGGGTTACAGGCTTGCTGATTGCATTGCTTGTGGGTCTGCTGTTGCAGAGTTGCTTGTTCTGTTGGGGTTAGGAGATCTGTGAAGGTATCTATTTTGTTTCTGGCATGTACTTTTTTTTGTATATACTTCTTACCGGGCTTTATGAGTTCATGATGTCGCTTAGCTATCTGGAATTGTGCTTTTGTTTCCGGGGAATATTGCTTGATTTAGTTGAATATTGCTTGATTTAGTTGAATATGAACCGTCCAACCAATTATGAATAGGGGTAATTCGCTGTTGGGGTTATTTGCATATGATTCATACTTGTGATTTCATTTGTTTTGTTAACTTTGTGTTTGATTAGGTTGTTGAATTTATATGCAGGGAAGACTCAGCTTATCAATCATTTTCTAATCAACAAGAGTTGGTATATTGTTAATCTGCCTGGATATGGGTGAGTCTCTGTAATTTTGGTTTTAATTTGGGCAATTTCTGTAATTCTTGAGTCTATTTCATGCTGGGAATATTGTATACTTGTATTGTGAATCAATTGTTATTCGTGTTTATTCCTGATCATATGCTTGAATCATATTGAAGTGCCAAAAAAGGATTGCTTTTACGCCTTGAGGCATTGCTTCAAAATTATTGATCATCCTGTAAAACATGTTGCGGACTGATATGTATTTAGGCTACATCCGTTGTAGTTAATTTGGTCTCCAATCGTGTTGTTTATTTTCAAGTTTAGGAAGTAAATGTCTCCTTACATGTCATTGTGAAATTTTATTTTACATATTTGATTATCGATTGTGACTCACCAGTCGGAAATTCCTGGGTCCGCCACTGGGCTCAACCAAAAGATGAAAGAAGGATTAACTCTTAGGAACCCTTACGGAATTAAAACTTCACATAAAAAGTTTAGCTTAACATAATCAATCAAGCAAAAAAAATTATACAAAGTACTTTCCTAAGAAATGATATTACGAGTGAAACCATGTCAAAAAAAAAGTCCACAAAAGATCTAGAGTTCAACTCTTTATTTGTGGATAGCGGGGTAAGATCGTTTATAAGGTTCCTTGGAGGACAACGTACTGTACATCACCAAAACTTCAAAACAAAAAACAAATAAACGCATAATTGAATGGCATACAAGCTCTTCAAAATGCCTTATTTACTTGTATAAGGACAGAGCCAAGATCCCAGAATAGTCTTAAGCATAAATAATTAGGTAGTGCCTACTCTAACTGGTTATATATTACAAACAAGGTATTACGTTCATAAAAAAAAAAGCTATATTTTTCACCAAGAACACTTGTATGGTTACCATCATGACTTCGATTTCAGAAGAAACAACGATCTGAATTAATTGATGCACACCCCATAATTGTTCCAGAAATTGATACTCATGTTCGTTTCCATATAGCAATCAAATCCTTGCCTGCAGCTGCAAATCAATCAAACTTAGAACCTGATGTTGGTCTAATTGATATTATGAAAATATGCATGATTCAACACAGCCATGGAAATGAGCAAAACCATCACCCAGCAATCACCCAGCATTACCTGAATGATGCATTGACCTTTTAAAAACATAAAGTAGCAAGAACAACTGGGCACAAATATGGAATGTGACCCGGTGGAACCACAAACAGGGATTTGAAAGGCTAAAACTGGAGGTGGGAGCCATCCTACTGGCTTCAGGTAGGCAACAGATTTGCGCACCCACCTGCACGCCTGTAGGAAAATGAGCCCCAAGTCTAATCCAGGTAAACCCAAATCCACTCCAGCAACCATAGAGGTTTGGGATCCCTGGCAGAGGTACAATTTATTATTAGACTTATACTCGCAGATGCCACAGGAAGCAGCAGTAGGAAACCATCTAGAAAGAAGGATAACAGTGAATAATATGCAATAACATGTTGAAAAAATATGAACAGCTGTGTTAAAAGAACGAAATCTAACAGGGTACAAGTCAACCTTTTTCCCTCCCTCTAATGAAAAAGGTTAGTCCCAAGCATTACACAATTTAATTAGTTTATTTATTTTTTATCAAAGAAAGAGGTAGTCACTGCTATTTATTTGCGAAAAGTGCTGTATCAATTTCATTTTTTTTTTTTTGATGTATAAAACAAGCAGCAAAAATACTAACATTATGCATAGCGGTAAAACACCAACCTGCTCAACAATTGTTCGCCCAGCCAAAACCGGCTGCCGTCTAAAATTTATCATCCCCAAAGCTGCCAAATCGACTAGAATTAGCGTTACCAAACCCTCCACTGCTCTGATTAGAACGTCCTGAACCGAAACTGCCGAAACCCCCAGATTTGTCTTTTCTCCCCATGTCACCGAATCCACCGCCACTGGGTTTACTAAAACCAGACCTACCAAAACTATCAGAGCTGCCTGAACCACCATATCCACCACCACCTGACCTAGAACTTCCATAAGAACCAAAACCACCTGATCCAGATTCCCTGGATCCGCCAGAACGTCCATAACCACCAGAACGTCCAGAATAGGAATCTCCGCCATAACCACCAGAACGAGAACTGCTTCCATATCCTCCTGAACGATTGAAGCCAGAGTTCCCAAATCGATCTCCGGATCCATAACGACCTCCACCACCCATGTTCATATCCAACTCTGCACCATCAGTCGCAACTGTAGAAAGCTGGTAAAGAAAAACAAGTCAGTAATTTAGCCTAGATCCAACAGTATATTGCGGGCAAAAACTAATATTATAATCAATAGCAGACACCATTATAACAGAAAGATCACTCAATCAACAAGCATGCCTACAAGGAATATCATCTTGACTGCATACAATTTGCATCTGTACAAAATTTTAAGAGTTTATCTCATTATGAATGGAAACAGGAAGCAATATCCTTGCAAATTTCTCAGACGTAAACTCCTGAGGCCGTAGCTATGTAAGTGTTCTTAGCCTGTTTTTCAGCCCATGATTAAACACAAAACCACCCAAGATAGGAGCCGATGGAAAAGAGGAAAAAAAAAAAACTTAGATATATCAAGTTATCAACTCATGAGCACATCAGGCCCCTCCAAAAAAAAGTAATTGGAACAGAGGCCAGGGGAAATAAACAGACATGGAACCCCAAGCCAACAACAACCATCCATAATAATGTCAACATTACAGCAACTCCTCTAAAAAGATCCCACACTAGCAAGGATAGGATGGAATTGTACACAGCCTTATACGTGCAATTACTGCAAAATTTACATATATGCAATGACTACAACCGCCACAAAAAATAATTACTACCTCCGTTACATATTATTTGCAACTTTTGAATTTTTTATATCTCGCAAATAACACTCCCTCCATGTTTTAACAAGTGTTACACTTTGACCGGTACATAGTTTTAGGCAATTTGACTAAAATAAAATAAGAGGTAAGTGGGGTAATTGGAGTATAAGAAAATTGTAAAAGAAAGAAAGTGGTGTTAATAGTTTATTGAAAAGTAATGAATGTGAGAGGAAAGAAATAATAATAATAATAATAATAATAATAATAATAATAATAATAATAATAATAATAATAATAATAATAATAATAATAATAATAAATAAAAAAAAAGTAGTAGTGGGTTTGGGTAGGGAACATAAAAGGAAAAAAATAAAATATTAAAATTTAGTTTTTTGCCAAAAAAGAAAGTGTAACATTTATTAAAACACGGCCGCATTTGGTAAGTGTAACACTTATTAAAACACGGAGGTAGTACCCAAAAGTTGCAAATAATATGTAACTGAAGTAGTAATTAAACAGCAGGGAATTCAATAAGCCATTTATTTATATACACTAAGCAAAAAATCATGAATATATACTTGAAGAAGTAGCAAATAATACTAGAAAGAAATTAACCTCTTTAAATTTGCATCCAACATCACGCTCAATACCCTTAACAGCCCTTGATTGATCCATTGTATACATGAGAATAGCAATTCCTTTTTTTCCAGCACGACCTGTACGACCAGACCGATGAACGAAACTCTCGGAATTGTTAGGGAGTTCATAATGTATAATCTGTGAAAAAAAACATATGAGAAATTAAGAAAATGTTCAATGTATATTTCAACCAAATAAATGGAATATAATACATACACTTCCAACATTCAATAAAACTGAGTTAACTGACAGGCAATAACTTCTATTAAGAACTGAACTTGCAAGCAACATAGAAAACATAATCAAGTTAACCATCAATATTTACTTCATAAGAGTGAACAGATTCATATACTTTTGGATTAACATGATTGGTTTCAACAGCAAAATGCAAATTTTCGCACAAAACTTTATATAAAAAAAAGAGGTAGCACACAGTCGCACACAGAGATCACAAAGTTCAGTGGACGACAAGGGGGAATAAGATTACATATAAAGAAATACTCCTCACTCGCTCCGTCAGTGTATTTGTGCTATTTTCCTCTCACAGCACCACTTACTAATTTCCCATAAAATAGAAATTAGACACAGCTAATCACATATGAAAGGTTGACACAACAAAGCTTAACCAGCAATTAATCTACTTAATTCCGCAAACAAATTGAGACAAGTTATTCATCACTCTTCAGCCTTCTCCCTTTTTAACCAAAAAATCAGATTTCTCAATAAAGGCATTGCATAAACAAAAAGCAAAGATTCGTAGTTATCATCAAAACCAAGAGTTTATATTATGAAAAGCATGCTGAGAAATTTTTTTTTGTTTATTTTAACTTTTAGGAAGAACCAGTCTAGGAACAAGCAACAAGCCATACATATTTTAAAAAATCTGTTCTTTCTACAATTCTAAAACAAATAGTGTAGTAGGAATGGGGGAAAAGAGATAGGTTTCTAAGAACTAAAAATGGTTAGATCTGATTACGATTTGGCCAAGTACATATCCACACACATTACAGCCAACATGCAAGTTTCAGATCATTAGACTATGATATTAAAAAAACATATAAAAAAATTTATACGGTATATAAAAACAACAAACGGGATAAACAGAGGAAGCAGACAAGTGAATAAAAAAAAATTATGAACTACAGATCTACATTTTTTTTTTTGGTGGGGTGGGGGGGGGGGGAGCAAAGTGAAAGCACAATCACAAGTTCTCACAAGTTTTGAAGTAAATGCAACCAGGAAAAAAAATCTCCAAATACAGAACTACAATTTTAGGAACTTGCGCGGTAAACAAACTCAAAGCTACAAAAACAGCAGTACCAAAATTTTGAATTGAAGGGATTAAAAATGTAATTACCAGGTCAACATTTGGTATGTCAAGACCACGAGCAGCCACATCAGTGGCAACCAAAATGTTGATGTCCCCATCTCTAAACCGTTTAAGCGTTCTTTCCCTCATATTTTGAGAAATATCCCCGTGCAAAGGTTCAGCTTTGTAATTTTTTCTTCCCAGTGCATTAGATAAATTGTCAGCATCACGTTTTGTTTGAGTGAAAACAATGCATTTCCCTCCATTTGCATGTTCCTGCAAGCAATGCAGAGCTCAGAAAATATATTGACAGGAGAATCTGTGCAAAGAAAGACTATGTGACCATGAACAGAGGAGAAAAGTTTCACAAATTTACCGTCACAAGAGGTCCAATGACACCTGCTTTCGTGCGATGTTCCACTACTACTGAATGCAAAGAAATTCCATCTGCCAGCTTCTGATCCGAATCACCAACCTACAAAAGATAAGCAACAGAAAAAGGCACAAAAGTGATTAAGAAAAGGAGGTTTACTGACATCTAACCAAACAACAGACAACACTGAACCCTGGGTGTTTTCAGTCTTACAAGATCAACGGTCAATGGATTTTTCAAATACTTCCTAGTCAACTTCAGGATCCAATTTGGCATGGTGGCAGAGAACATCAAAGTTTGACGATTTTGTGGCAGCTTCTCTAATATAACCTCAACATCTTCCTCAAATCCAACATTAAGCATTTGATCAGCTTCATCCAGTACAACAAACTGAACGCGAGAAAGATCTAATGCTCCTCTCTTCAACAAATCAATAATCCGTCCAGGTGTACCGGCAACTACATCAACACCACGGCTAAGATCACTCATTTGACGACTAATTGGTGTACCTCCATATACACATAGAGTTTCTAGCCTTGAAGACTCATGGAACTCCTTCTCCACCTGCCGTGCAAGTTCTCTAGTGGGGGCCAAAACCAAGGCCAAAGGTTCTCTCCCAGCCCTGCAAAAGCAAAACATATAATCAGATCTGGCAGCAATGGGAGTGGACTAATCAGTACAGAAACAAAATATACATCAATAAATATATCATGAAAATGGTCCACTGTAGAACTAGATAATAAGAGTTCATATTCCTTAAACTAAACAAGTAAGCATACCCATTTTTTGCATTATAGCGTGTAATCTTATCCAAGATTGGAATCCCAAAAGCAAGGGTCTTCCCTGTCCCTGTTCTGGCACGGCCAATCATGTCACGACCCTGCATTGCAGGTTCAAGAACAGCTTTCTGCACCAATAAAACAAAATTAAAAAATCAGCCTCCCCTTGCTTTAAACCTACTTTGACTTCAAAATAAGAAGTTTATAATTAAATAACACGGTAACAGTTTATAAATAATTAACATGGTAACAATTTATATGGCAACATCCATTAGCACCCTTAGTCCTTAAGAGAAACAAATTTATAAAACAACATACAATTTGGCAATAACTGAATAACATTGATAAATAACAATATAAGAACGAACAAAAATCTATCCTATGAATTCACCACCGAGTAAACATACAAATTAACCGGAAATAAAGTAAACTCAAAGAAAAAGTACATCATTTCACATTTTGTTTATATCCTGATAATTTAGGACAAACAAATTGGTAATAGTTCAGCCCATTTGTCGAATATTCAAGTAATAAAACAGCTATCCAAGCTGAGTAAAAAGTAGGAATTCAAGGAACCCTATGTCCCTAACTACAATTGTTGAATTGGTAGTCCATAAACATCAAGGGTTAAAATTTTAATACCCTGCAAAGATTCTTCTCGTAAAACACCTGGATACATTGAATCCCAGAGCTTTAAAACACACTCCGTCTCGCTAATCGCGTGTATGCCAAATTGGACACTAATTATTGAGAATAAACTAGGGGTACGGTATCCTTTTAAAACTAACTAACCCTGATCAATGACATACACCCAATAAATTCCTTGATCGATTCACAAAACATAAGATTCAATTCCAATACTAGAAATACCAATAAACCAGGCAAACATTAAGATCGTACAGTTCAAAATAACTCACATAAACATAAAATCATAAAGATTGCAACAACAAAAAATTACCTGAATTGGAAAGAGTTTAGTGATTCCTCTCTTAGCCAAACAAGAAATGACCTCAGGATGAATTCCAAGCTTAGAAATCTCTAGACCTTCATCCCCCGAACCACCGGCTCTCACCTTATCATCATCCGAGTAATCGGCGACTGCGAAACCCGCCGCCTGCGACGCAAAAGGCGCTCGAAACTCCAGACGGCCGGATCGCGAGTACATACTCCTACCGCCTTCAAAGCTAGGTTTAGAAACAGGGGTTGAATCGATGACACTGCCCAGAAAACCACCATTATTGACCGTTGAAGCTGGAGATGCCGTCAGTGAGTGGCTCGAGTGGAAGAGGGTAGAGAAGGCGGCAATAGCACGGCGAGATGATGCAGAAGAAGGCGAGAATTGCCTTCTGAGAAGCATAGAAGTCGCCATTTTTGGTCGAAGAGAGAGAAAGTAGAAAACCCTAAATGGAGAAATTAGGGTTTTAGGGGAAATGGGGATGTTGGGAGAAATGAGAAAGAGGGGTTAAAGTTAAACCCTGAGGGTTTAAAGAGCAGCCGCACGTTAGATATTTTTAGTTGATGCCTTTTTTCCTTTAATTTTCTTTTTCTTTTTTTATTTTGGTAAAGAAATATCTAACCACTTTTTTATTTCATAAAGTTTTATACTGTACGTTATGGTCACACCGTGTGACTTATTCAGAGATTACTTATTTGATCAAGGGTTACTTGATCGGTTAGGGGTTACCTGATCGGTTAGGGATTACTCGGTTGATTAGGGGTTACTCGGTCGATTAGAGGTTACTCTGTCAATGGTTACTCGATCGGTCAGGAGTTACTCAATCAACTAGGGGTTACCCGGTCAGTGTTTTGGTATGTGTCAGCTGGCCATACGGTGTGACCAGCCACACAGAAAACGCATTGTTTTTTTTTTTCTTACAACGACATGAAATAAATTTTTTTTTGGACAACAGTTACCTTTTTCTAATAACAAGTGTTAGATTTTGGTAAGTCTTTACACTACAATTTACTCAATTGCTCCTAATTACAATGGCTATTAGCCAAATCACAAGTAAAACAACTAGAATTCCGATAATAACACAATATCTAAGATTTGAACAATAACTAAGGATATTCCACTTGCTTGGAGAGCTGGAGCTGTTGGATTTGGTTGTTAGTTGTTCTTTGTTCTCCCTCTTATACGAAATATGAGTCATCACAAAGTGACCCATTGGGACTTAGATAAAGGTTGGAGGGTACTTGAATGGTCTTCAAACTTGATTGCCAAACTGAACACTGAAAATCCAAATGATTTTGATAAGTAACAACCTCTTAGGATTTGATGTGTACCACTCTTGACTCATTTCTTCTTGTGGCTCCAATTTAAGGATTTCGAACAAACCGTTTTTGGGGAATTATCAAAATCTCATGGAGCAACTTGCTTCCCCTAAGGGTCCTCCTTCAAGCTATGAATTTTTGAGGTGGTAACTTGGGGTATTAACGAGCCGAGTCGAGACCAAAAAATTAGGCTCGGCTCAAGCTTGAGACTTCTTAAGGCTCGGCTCGGCTCACCTCGAGACTCCTAAAAGCTCGGCTCGATATGGCTCAGTTCGGCTCGAGGCTCGACTCGATTCAGCTCAAGGTTTAGGGACTTTAGTATGTAGTCCAATTAACAAGGGCCTAAATGGTACGGTGCTCATAGTCATTATTTCTAAAACAATCAAAGTTTTCTTTTATAACTCTCATATTCTATCCCTTGCTTCTATCTTTCAATGTGGGACTATTTCTTTCCTTTTTTTTTTTTTTTTTTTTTGTTTTAGTTCTTCTATATAAACAACAACAAAAATCATCAACAAAAGCTCCAAAACTTAGCAAGAACACTAGAGCTATGAAGATTAATTTTAGTGAGTTTAATTCCATGATAGAGGATAAGAAATGAGGTTTGATAACTTCAATATCGTATATGAGGTGGTACGAGAGTTTAGTTAGTATCCTATGAAAATACAACGTTCGTGCTTAAGTTCTTTTCTCACTGCTTGCTTCAAAGTGATACAATATTTTGTTATTTCTACAACATGAGTAATGTGTTGGTGTTGTGCATCACATGTGTAATTGTGGTTAATAATATTCTTGAACTTCCTATTTTCTCAGTATTGTAGTGAAAGTTAAACAAAGTTATAAATGATGTGTTTGATTATTTTGAGAATAATAATAATAACAATTGTTGTTTTTTCCAAAGTGTCTTGTTTTGTACTCCCTCCATTGATAATGATCTCCCCTCTTTCCTTTTTAGGTGTCTTAAAATGTTGTTTCTCTTTTATATTTTCCCATTTTTGGACACTATAAAAAGACCAAATTATCCTTATTTTTTGTTTTTTTCACTCAAATACCTAATCTACCCTCAAATTTCCTCTAAATACACTACTAGAATACAGGCGATTTTCGACGGAATTTTTCCATCGGAAACACCTCGTTTTTCGTCGGAAAACCCCTTTCCGACCGAAATTCCGTCGGAAGCGGTTGTCGGAAGAGGTTTTGTAGGAAAAAACGACTTTTCCGATGGAAATTCTGTCGGAACCAGTTTTCCAACGGAAATTTTTTTGTCGGAAGACATTTTCCGGCTCGGAAAAGTCCGTTGGATATTTTTCCGCCTGAAAATTTCGACGGAAATTCCATCGAAAAATCCTATTAAAAAAATAGAAAAATACTGCACCACCACCGCCCACACCACCAGCCCCCACCCAACCAGACCTCACTGCACACCGACCCTAACCGCCAACTCACCCTCCACCACACTCAGACGGTCACACCAGCCCCTATCCCACCTTCACACACCACCACCGACACCACCACACCAAAAATTAACCCCAAAAAAACAAAACTTAGCAAAAAAAAAAAAATAGCAAAAAAACGAAAATTAACCCCAAAAATACGAAAATTAACACAACAAAATTGAAATATACCACAAAAAAAAAGGAAAAATTCATGGGAATAATCCCACCTTTGGGTCATTCGTTTTTAATAATCCCACCTTTGAGTTATTTTTTAATAATCCGACCTTTACCCCCCATTCTTTTTTATTGATCCCATTTTACCTGAAACCGGTTGAAGAGGTAATTTTTTATTTTTTTTTTATTAATGTACACGTGTCACAATTTGATTTGTCCAAAATAAAAAAAAAAAAAAAATACAAAATGAATTAAAAGTCCCCAAAAAATATCAGACTCCTTAATCCCCTCCTCTTCAATTCATTTTTGGCTGCTCTAATTCATTCATCATCATTCAATCATCATCAACCATCATCTTCACCGTTCATCACCTTCAATCAACTACATCATTAACAAGCATCAGCAAAATCTCTGCCTTTGGATTAATTGAAGGAATCGTGGCCGTCCAATTTCATCAATTCGTACAATTTCTCACGCGAAAATGGAGCGGATGCTCATACCATTCGAAGCGAACGCTCTGAACTTCCTGCCTCAAAGTTGAAAACATTGAACAAATAGGAGTGTCCGCTTCGATATAGCCTGAGCGCCCGCTCAAGAGTCCTTGATTCTTTGGCTGAATTGGGGCGTGGGCGTAATTGCCAATTGCGGGGCTGTTTGTGTGCCAAAATGGTGGTGCTTAACTGCGGTTTTGCTGCTGTGAATGGGTGGAGAAATGGGAGGTGATGAGGGTGCGATTGGTGGTGGTGTGGTGCTACAGGGTGACGAGCAGGTGCAGCGGTGGCGAGCTGCCGGGCTGCTGTTGTTGATTCGAGTTTGGGCGGTGAGTGATGGTGGAGGTTGAGGGTAAGTTAGGGTGGTGCGTGAGTAAAGAGGGGGCTGGCCTAGGCTGCTGGCTCCCTGCCTCCATGGTGGCTGGCTGATTTTTTTTTTTGTTATTTTTTTTTCTGTTTTTTTTTTGTATTTTTATTTTTGGCCAATCACAGGCCGCCACGTGTCATGCAACCTGTTATGACCGGTTGGGACCAATAAAAAAGAATGGGGGGGTAAACGTCGGATTATTAAAAAATAACTCAAAGGTGGGATTATTAAAAACGAATGGCCTAAACGTGGGATTATTCCCATGAATTTTTCTAAAAAAAAATCAAAACCAGTAGATCTACATATTTAATCAGAATTTTATAAAAAATTTTAAAAAAACGATAATCAAACAACAAAAATTAAAGGAAATATATAAATATACAATTATCTAATAAAATTTATAAATTAACATTATAATTACATAAAGAATTAACTAGATCTACAATCTAACCTAAATCAAAATTAGATCTACTAAACAAAAACCTTGAGAGTGGGTGGTTCGCAACGGTGGTTGTTGACTTTGTTGTTGTTGTTGCGCCGTTGTTGTTGTGGTTGATGTTGGTGGTGGACGGAGAGAGAAGAGGAGGACGTTGTGGCGTTGTTGTTGTTGACGGTGCTTGATGTTGGTGGTGGATGGAGAGAGAAGAGGAGGACGGAGAGAAAGAAGATAAGAGAAAGAGGAGGGAGAAGTAGAAGAAGACCGAGAAAGAGGAGGGAGGAGGAGTGATGAAGAGATTGAGAAGAAGAGGAAAGAGAAGAGGAGAGGAGAGAGAAAGAGAATGAGAAAAGGGAAAGAAGAGGCGGAAATGAGGGGGGGTTGGCTGATTCAGGGCTTGTTTTTTTTTCTTTTTTTTTTAAATTAGATTCCGACGGAAATTTCATCAAAAATTTTCGACGGATTTCCGATGGAATTTTTGAATTCGTCAGAAATATCCGACGGAAAATCTGTCGGAAATTCCGATTTTTCCGACGGAATTACGTGTCCGTCGGAACCTGTCCGTCGAAATTCGACCTAATACTTGTAGTGATATTTATGCCCAACCCATGTGTATGTACTCTAATATTCATATGCTTACTTTGACTCTACTTATTATCAATATATAAGAAACATATATTGCCATGCATGTTCAATATTTTTGGGTTAGTAATTATGTATATTTTCATTAGATCAAACTTCTATACTTCTTAATAATATTCCCTCCGTTCCACATTATAGTTCTTGTTTTCCTATTTTGGCCTGGAGACCCAAAATATTGTTCCTGTTTCTATTTTTGGATAGTATGTAAACCATTATACCCTCTTTTTTTTTTTTTTTAACTTTATTCATTAAACTTTCTAAATCACCCTTGAATTTTCCACTTGCCTTGTACTTTTTCTTCCACTCTCTCTCTGACTTTTGTCTATAATTGTATTTTTCACTTTTTTTTTTTAATGTACTTCATTCACTTTCTCCTCCCATTTCTTAAATACCGTGAAAAAACACAAACATGAACTATAAATTGGGACAGAAGGAGTATATAATTACAAATATTAATGGTTAAAGTTGTACATTGGCATTAGTGTCAATCAAAGTGTTGCGATTATTATGAAACGGAGGAAGTACTTATTATTTGTGACTGTTATATTGGGACTTGAAATAATTCATTCTAGTAAGGCTGAATTCGAATGCATATATCTCTCAAAATGAAAGTGATCTTGAGGTAATTCAGCTTAAAGATGATAGTTTGTTTCAAGAGCTTTTCAACAATAGGTTATAATGCTCAATTCTAAAGTGCTACTTCGCACATGTGCCAAAAAGGGGCATGTCTGTGCCTAGTCGAGTGGGGCGTTTTTAGTTCAGTTTCAAGAGTTTTCTAAAATAATATTTCTTCTATGACGACTATTTAAGCTATACTTTGGGAGTACTTTGGGACTTTATTATATGGTTTTTCTGTGTTTTTAAAGGACTCTTTAGTTGATCAATTAGATCACACATTTTGAGCCATTAAGAATTAGGACTCCCTTATATTATTCTCTTATTCTTTCTCCATCATAGCGAAGAAGCTCTCGAATCCCCAACCTGTCGATGTAGGTCTATTTGACAGAACCACGTAAATGTTTTGTGTTATTTGTTTATCTTCTTTATAGCTTTTCTCGTTCATGTTTTTCATTGACTTATTATGCAATGATTAAACATAATATAACACCACCCATATTTCCTAACAGTGACCCACTCACAATTCTTGTACTTTGGTATAAAATTTAAAAATCATAAAAAAAAAGGGTAAACTGTCGAAATTTGTTAACTCTTATACCAATTTACTATGTTAACTTCTTTACCAATTTGTTGCGGGTGATAATTTTTATATAATGTGTCAAACTGTCATCACAATGCTAACTTTTATACTAATGTAGTTAATTGACCCATTAAAGTTTATATTAATAGCATAATTTATATCAACTTTTTTATGATAACAATTTTATGTTTGATTACTCGTTATTCATGTCTACGCCGATGGTTGTTATTAGGTCTTTTGAGGACATAGTGAAGAGAATAATGCAGAATTTCTTTGTTGAGTAGATTTATTTTTAGGGTGGAATAATTTTTTTGGGTGGAAAAATTATATGGGATGTATATATAGTGGGGTTTTGGAGGCAATAAGAATTTGAGTAGAATTAGGAATATGGAATTGTAGATGAAAAAATATAACGAACCAAGTTTTTTTTTTTATTAAAAGATAAATTTAAAGTTTGTTACACAAATAAGGTAAAGTGGTTAGTATTATCAAACCGTAACAACTCAACTAAAACGTTAATTTTGTAAAAAAAAAAACATAATTTTATTTATTTATCTTGTTAACTTAGGATAAGGGCTGAAAAATTATCATTATGTTTCACATATTTGTTGATAATTAAATTATTAGACACCAATAAATTAGCCAAAATTACTTTTCAGAAAATCTAGTTTACAACTTTACACTCACTAAGTTACCCTATTCGTTGTCTTCAAAAAACAAAAAAAAAAAGTTATTCTATTTGTTTAACTATCCAAGACTCGTGAGAGTGAAGTGTAGCTCAAGTAGTTATAAGTCCTTATAACTCTTTTTGGATTCTATGTAATATAACTATAAAAAGATCGATTTTCATTTAAAAAAAAAAAAAAAAAAAAGAACCATCCAAAGACTCGTTGAACTATCCAAGATTCCATTCCCTCGACTTTCTCTCTCCTACAGTAACAGTAAACCATGAACTATCTATCCATATGTTCTAATTAGGGTTTACAATTAATATCAATTAACACTATGTAACTATGTAGTTGCTTTTTTTCAGGAAATTACAAGTATTTTGATGAGTTGCTGCTAAAAATGACTACTTTATATGGGTTGCTGCTAAATTCTTCCGGTACCAATTTCTTTTACTTTGCTATTCTCTAAATTTTTTTGTTAATTGAATTGTTGTATTGAAGATATTAATAAAAAAATTCACTGCCCTTTTCAATTGATGTAGTTTTGGGTCATAAAAATGGAAACTCAATGCTTTCGTTTCGATATCGATTGTCTACTGAAGTCAATTCTAGAGACTTGATTGCTTGTAATTTTGTACCAAAATGGGTAAATAATTGTCTTCTTGTTCTATTGATTTTTTTTTATAAGCATATTAGTGTTTTGTATAGAATTTCTGAATTGCCCATCTTATATATTGGTAGAATTTAAGGTCAGAGATCAATTATTCAAACAAGAGGCAGATTCGACCTCGGTTTTCGATGTCTAGGGGAGGAAGTTATGGATTAAAGTTTGATGATGAGAGTGATGAGAACCCATTTTGGGTGCAATTTTCTAAGGAAACAATCAGGTATTAGGATTAGAAGAATTTGTGTGGAACTATATTGAGGTTGGGGGAGTAGTAGCTTGTAATTCAACTGAGTGGTTTGTTGTGCCATATTCTTTTCAGGGGTTTGAAGTCATTGCTTGCTCAACAACCTGGCAGCTGAAGTACATAGAATGGTCGAGTTTTCAGGACACGGTACCGCCTTTGCCTAACTTTTGGATGCATATTTGTTTATGTGTATTGCAATATTATGCTGCTGTTGATTAATGTAAGCCTTTTCCAGGTTGAAATAATTCCTGTCTAAACTTCAAATACTTGTATATGCTTGTGAAAACATGCTACTAGAGTTCTGATTGGACTTGCGTCCCCTCTCCATAAAAATTGCCTTTATCTCGATGTTTTACAATGGAAACTCTCATTGTATATTGTCTTTGATGATAATTAGACTGATGAAAGCAGAATTGCTTATGTGATCCGACTTTAAACAAAAGTCTCTGAATCAGAATACGTTAAACTGTCAGCTCAATATGTTGATTTGGCTACCTAGATGCTTAGTACCATTTAACATAGTCTAGTGTCTTGTATGTATGGAAGTGCATAGATGATGGAGTATCCTGGACATAAAATCTTCTAAATCCTTTGGCTAATCATAGATGAATGTTGTTATGTATACAACAATTTTCTGCCGCAGTGAAATGATTTAAGCCATGCTGGGATAGAACAAAAACCCAAAGTTTATTTGTGTGTGTGTGTGTTTTTTTTTCACCAGTATTGACAAATAAGCGTGAATGGAGGACAAGGAATATTCTCTTTCCAACCTAAGAGCAGATGAAACATGGGAGTAATACGAAGTAATTACTTGTACCCTTTTGGAGTTTTGGTACAAGGTTTATCAGTACATTACTCTGTATTTTATTGATGCTATCAGTGTCATTTTTCATGAAGACATGAGATCTATAGGACACTATCTCATCTTATATTGACTTAGATGTCTATCTTATATTGACTATAAGAATGACCATGTATAAGTTCCCATATCTTTTCAACCCCTTAATGAACACCTTAAAGTGATTGAATATGTTGATTTGGTTACAGAGATGTATAATGTCTATAATCTCTCCCAATCGTGATAACTGATTTTTTTAGCCGTCCTTCATTCAAGTCCCATTTAATGGCACCCTAGATTGTATATCAAAGACCTTTAAGGTTAATGCCTAGTCCTTGTTTGAACTGCTATGAGACTTTTCCATGGAAAGCAGTAATTGATGAATACAGAGGATAATATGTCTAATATCTGGCCGTCACTGCCTTGGATTATCAACTAGTTATACTAAAATAATGCAATGAAGATGAAGGATTCAAGATGAAGGATTCACAAATAACTAGTTGATAATCCAATGAAGATGAAGGATTCTTGACTACCTATGTATGTAACATAATATTGAAATAGCCCTGTAGTTGAATCAAACCCATTCTCGGGGTCTTTATAGACAAGTTGATAAATTTGTTATAATTCCAAATCAACTTATATGACCTTAGGGGATACCCCACACATTCACTTTAATTTTTGGAAAAAAAATCTCAAAATTGACTCGAAAACAGGCTAGAAGATACAGGTTGGTTTGAAGGTAATACAACATTAACACATCATTCAATGATACTTCTGCACTAAGGGTAGTACACAGACTACACACTTCATGTGCCATAAGATATTAAACCAAATTGCATAATAATGGCGAATCAAAATAATAGGCAAACAAGACTTAACTTCTATCATTCTTTTTACCAAAGCCTTTTGTCCTAGTTCACTAGTCCGTACTCTACACTGTATACAATTTAAATATATCATGATGAGCCTCACAAAAATGAAATGATGTGATCAAGCTACAGATTAGTCAACGCTACAGATATGTTTAGTGTTTCTTTGTGATTAAGCTAGAGTTGAGCCCAAAAACAGTTTGCATTATGCAGGTTTTCGCAGAAGTAGAGCCAACACATAAGAAAGAGCTGCATCAATTGAGGACAAAGCAACAACAAGCGCAGCTACAAGTACAAGGGTGAGGGTGGCAGTTCGTAGCTGCAACAAAAAACAGAAAGAGGAAAATATAAGATTTTCTACCCCCTAGTGAAATACACAAGGCAGTGACGGCCAGATATTAGACATATTATCCTCTGTATTCATCAATTACTGTTTCCATGGATCAGTCCCATAGCAGTTCAAACAAGGACTAGGCATTAACCTTAAAGGTCTTTGATATACAATCTAGGGTGCCATTAAATGGGACTTGAATGAAGGACGGCTAAAAAAATCAGTTATCACGATTGGGAGAGATTATAGACATTATACATCTCTGTAACCAAATCAACATATTCAACCACTTCAAGGTGTTCATTAAGGGGTTGAAATGATATGGGCACTTATACATGGTCATTCTTATAAACTTTGGGTTTTTGTTCTATCCTAGCATAGCTTAAATCATTTCACTACGGCAGAAAATTTCTGTATACATAACATTCATCTATGATTAGCCAAAGGATTTAGAAGATTTTATGTCCAGGATACTCCATCATCTATGCACTTCCATATATACAAGACACTAGACTATGTTAAATGGTACTAAGCATCTAGGTAGCCAAATCAACATATTGAGCTGACAGTTTAACGTATTCTGATTCAGAGACTTCTGTTTAAAGTCGGATCACATAAGCAATTCTGCTTTCATCAGTCTAATTATCATCAAAGACAATATACAATGAGAGTTTCCATTGTAAAACATCGAGATAAAGGCAATTTTTATGGAGAGGGGACGCAAGTCCAATCAGAACTCTAGTAGCAAGTTTTCACAAGCACAAACAAGCATATACAAGTATTTGAAGTTTAGACAAGAATTATTTCAACCTGGAAAAGGCTTACATTAATCAACAGCAGCAGAATATTACAATACACATAAACAAATATGCATCCAAAAGTTAGGCAAAGGCGGTACCGTGTCCTGAAAACTCGGCCATTCTATGTACTTCAGCTGCTCAGGTTGTTGAGCAAGGAAAGCAAGCAAAGACTTCAAACCCCTGAAAAGAATATGGCACAACAGACCACTTAGTTGAATTACAAGCTACTACTCCCCCAACCTCAATATAGTTCCACACAAATTCTTCTAATCCTAATACCTGATTGTTTCCTTAGAAAAATGCACCCAAAATGGGTCCTCATCACTCTCATCATCAAACTTTAATCCATAACTTCCTCCCCTAGACATCGAAAACCGAGGTCGAATCTGCCTCTTGTTTGAATAATTGATCTCTGACCTTAAATTCTACCAATATATAAGATGGGCAATTCAGAAATTCTATACAAAACACTAATATGCTTATAAAAAAAAAAAAAAAAAAATCAATAGAACAAGAAGACAATTATTTACCCATTTTGGTACAAAATTACAAGCAATCAAGTCTCTAGAATTGACTTCAGTAGACAATCGATATCGAAACGAAAGCATTGGGTTTCCATTTTTATGACCCAAAACTACATCAATTGAAAAGGGCAGTGAATTTTTTTATTAATATCTTCAATACAACAATTCAATTAACAAAAAAATTTAGAGAATAGCAAAGTAAAAGAAATTGGTACCGGAAGAATTTAGCAGCAACCCATATAAAGTAGTCATTTTTAGCAGCAACTCATCAAAATACTTGTAATTTCCTGAAAAAAAGCAACTACATAGTTACATAGTGTTAATTGATATAATTGTAAACCCTAATTAGAACATATGGATAGATAGTTCATGGTTTACTGTTACTGTAGGAGAGAGAAAGTCGAGGGAATGGAATCTTGGATAGTTCAACGAGTCTTTGGATGGTTCTTTTTTTTTTTTTTTTTTTTAAATGAAAATCGATCTTTTTATAGTTATATTACATAGAATCCAAAAAGAGTTATAAGGACTTATAACTACTTGAGCTACACTTCACTCTCACGAGTCTTGGATAGTTAAACAAATAGAATAACTTTTTTTTTTTGTTTTTTGAAGACAACGAATAGGGTAACTTAGTGAGTGTAAAGTTGTAAACTAGATTTTCTGAAAAGTAATTTTGGCTAATTTATTGGTGTCTAATAATTTTAATTATCAACAAATATATGAAACATAATGATAATTTTTCAGCCCTTATCCTAAGTTAACAAGATAAATAAATAAAATTATGTTTTTTTTTTTTTACAAAATTAACGTTTTATTTGAGTTGTTACGGTTTGATAATACTAACCACTTTACCTTATTTGTGTAACAAACTTTAAATTTATCTTTTAATAAAAAAAAAAAACTTGGTTCTTTATATTTTTTCATCTACAATTCCCTATATCTAATTCTACTCAAATTCTTATTGCCTCCAAAACCCCACTATATATACATCCCATATAATTTTTCCACCCAAAAAAATTATTCCACTCTAAAAATAAATCTACTCAACAAAGAAATTCTGCATTATTCTCTTCACTATGTCCTCAAAAGACCTAATAACAACCATCGGCGTAGACATGAATAACGAGTAATCAAACATAAAATTGTTATCATAAAAAAGTTGATATAAATTATGCTATTAATATAAACTTTCATGGGTCAATTAACCACATTAGTATAAAAGTTAGCATTGTGATGACAGTTTGACACATTATATAAAAATTATCACCCGCAACAAATTGGTAAAGAAGTTAACATAGTAAATTGGTATAAAAGTTAACAAATTTTGACAGTTTACCTTTTTTTTATGATTTTTAAATTTTATACCAAAGTACAAGAATTGTGAGTGGGTTACTGTTAGGAAATATGGGTGGTGTTATATTATGTTTAATCATTGCATAATAAGTCAATGAAAAACATGAACGAGAAAAGCAATAAAGAAGATAAACAAATAACACAAAACATTTACGTGGTTCTGTCAAATTAGACCTACATCGACAGGTTGGGGATTCGAGAGCTTCTTCGCTATGATGGAGAAAGAATAAGAGAATAATATAAGGGAGTCCTAATTCTTAATGGCTCAAAATGTGTGATCTAATTGATCAACTAAAGAGTCCTTTAAGCCAATCATACAAGTATACATTTTAAGTACGTAATGGTAACAAACTAACAAACTAATAGAGGCCTCAGACAAACTAGGCCCATTTAATAAATGTTGGACTTGGCAGAATGTACAAAGTATGACATTAGGCACAATTATTTTATAGTCCATTACTTGGAGTTTAGTTTCCCAAAAAAAAAAAAAAAAAACACACACACACACAAACTAAACTAAACTAAAATAATTAGATGGAAAAATTATAACAATCCCTCTATGAAGAATTAAATCATGAAAATCCAGCTAACATATGAAGACTTATAAAGGAGAAAAGAACAATAGTACAATACAAAATGGCAGTTTAAGACAAATTTAGAAAACCAATCCTACTATTTAAGGTGTTATAATGAATGTGAAAGACAGGAGTGCATCCATTTTGAAATCATTAGCCATTATAACCACTGTCTAATGACAACTCAATTTGTACTACAATTTAAATAAAAACCATTAAAAAGAAAAGAAGGGGCAAATATAGAACAAGGAAAGAATTAATCATAGATTCCATGTGAAATATTTTTGAGTAATATTGGTACATTGTAGGACACACCCAGAATATCATGAACACTCAACATCATGATCATATACACAAAAACTAAATTTGAACAAAAATTACATCCCTGATCCCTCTAAAAAAAAATAAAAAAATCCTCATATCATACTTCCCACAAACAATTCTTGGTTAAAATTGGGATTTGGGACATAAATACACAACATAACACTAACTAAAACTACATGATACATTGAATTATAAATTATAATATATGCTTTTTTTTATACAAGTATCATATAGTATAAACCATAAAAAACCCCATCAAATTCATATACTCAACATCATGATCATATACACAAAAAAAAAAAATCACAAAAAAAAAAAGCACAAAATAACGAAATATACATTGCAGAACAATTAATGAACAAAAGATCGAAACTTAGAATAAGAATAAAAAAAATTGTTTTGAATAACAGAAATTAACAATACAAATTTTAGGCATATTTCGACTATATTCAAGCAAGAACAACAACAATAATCAAATAATCAAATAATCTGAACAACCCATCATCATTACTTTTAAATCGAGCATAATAAACAACAAAACAGCACAAATCTACCATTTTCCCGTAAAAAACAAAAATACAATCAACAACAGATTTTAGGCATATTTCGACTATATTCAAGCAAGAACAACAACAATCAAATACAAAAATAGAAAAACTGTATTAAAAAAAAAACGAAATGGAAACAAAGTAATTACCTTTGACGGCTTGAAGGAGATTTGAAGATGGAGAACTGGAGATCAAAAGAAAAAATCAAGAATGTAGATTATCAGAACTTGAAATAAAAAAAAAAAAAAACCGAAACGAAAACGAAAAAAATCGAAAAAATTAACAAAAAAATTACCTTGAGGTTTGACGGCTTGAAGGAGAGGAAGATTTGAAAAAAAAAAAAAAACGAGAATGGAAAAGTCAGAAATCAGAACTTTAGATCCAAAACAAAAATGAAACGAAAACAAAAACCCTAAATAAAAAAAGTAAAAAACCGAAACGAAAACGAAAAAAATCAAAACGAAAACAACAAAAATTAACTAAAAATTACCTTGAGGTTTGATGGCTTGAAGGAGAGGAAGATTTGAAAAAAAAAAAACGAGAATGGAAAAGTCAGAAATCAGAACTTTAGATCCAAAACAAAAATGAAACGAAAACAAAAATCCTAAATAAAAAAAAGTAAAAAACCGAAACGAAAACGAAAAAAATCAAAACGAAAACAACAAAAATTAACAAAAAATTACCTTGAGGTTTGACGGCTTGAAGGAGAGGAAGATTTGGAAAAAAAAAAAAAAAAAACGAGAATGGAAAAGTCAGAAATCAGAACTTTAGATCCAAAACAAAAATGAAACGAAAACAAAAACCCTAAATAAACAAACCGAAACAAAAACGAAAACAAATCAAAACGAAAACAAATCAAATTAACAAAAAATTACCTTAAGTTTTCACGGCTTGAAGGAGAGGCAGATTTGAAAAAACAAAAAAACGAGAATGGAAAAGCCAGAAATCAGAACTTTAGGGGTCCGTTTGGTAGGGTGTAAAACATTTTCAATGTAAAATGATTTGAAAAACTCATTTTCCAAAAAGTTTTCCGTTGTTTAGTTGAATGGAAAATGATTTTCCATTTTAAGTATTTTCCATTGTTTGGTTGAACAGAAAATTATTTACTAATGTAAAACTTCAATTCTAATTGTATTCTCTTATCATATTGTATTCTCTTGTCATTTCTTTTACTCCTTTTCTTTTCTTTTTATTATTTTCAAATATTTTCTTACTCATTATTATCTACCCCAATATATTATACTATATTTTACTTCAAACATAATAATATAAAATTTATACAAATTTTGATGGGAATAGGAATATCTGAGAAGTACACAAGGAGGATATGTACAGGAAAGCATAATAAACGACCTACTCATACTAGAAAATTCAACTACTCATATATGTGAAATTCTATGTACAGGGGAAGCATAATATGTAAGATTCTATGTTTCGATTGCCTGTTAAATTTATGACTGAAAATAAATTTATATCTAAAATCATATGAAAAAATTATATTAGAAATCATAATTTATATCTGATTTATTTCTGAAATATGAGCTACTCAATAATATCGCCATTAAAATTCAACTACTATAAATTGTGTTTTATAATCAGAAATCAAGCATTAAAATCAAAAACACAATTTATACCACAGAAATCAACTAAATTACAATAAAAATGAACAATACTAGAAGCTAATCAATGATAAACCCTAGATTATGAAATTGATGTTCAACTATCTAACCACTACCTAAGAAGCTAATTCAATGGAGGAGAAAGCTAAAAAGCTTCTTAAATGGAGGATAGAAAGCTCACAAATCAGTTCAATGGAGGAGATAATGCTCACACGCTGCGCCGCTTCAATGGAGAATCCAGAGTACACTTTAATGGGGGAGATGAAGCACAGAAGTCGCTTTAATGGAGTACGCTACCTCAGAGAAGCGAAAGACCCAAAAACCAAGCCCTATTTGAGACCTCACAAGCTGCTTCAATGGAGGAGGGAGAAAAAATCGGGGAAGGATATGAGCTCTAGGAGAGAGAATCGTTTTTTTGGAGGATAATGTTTTCCTTTGATTTTTGGAGGAAAATGTTTTCAACTGTGATTGAGAGTAGAAGAGTATGTAAAACGGCTGAATGGCTGATAGAGTGGTTTTTTTTTTCTAGGTTTAGGTTTTACTTGTTCAGTTGATCTAACCGTCTATATTCAATCTCAACATCTAACCGTTCATTTTTTTTTTTTTTTTTTTTTGTAGATTCAAGAATATTCATCTAGATCTAACGGTCTAGATTTTTTTTGTGTGCTTTTCGAGGTCTTTTTGACCGTTTTTTTAATTATTTATTATTATTATTATTTTGAGGGATTATTATTATTATTATTATTTTTATTATTGTTAGTATAATTATTTGTTAATATTATTATTATTACTAGTTTACTACTACTATTATTATAATATTATTATAATTATTATTATTATTACTATTATTATTATTATTATTATTATTATTACTATTATTATTATTATTAGTTTATTACTTATAAGTTATAAATTGTAAGAAACGCAAATGTTTCAAAATTGAAATTGATTCAATACGACATAGTTAATGACTTAATGAGTTAATGCACATCAATATCTGACATCTCTATATGTATATTATATATATATCTGTGAGTTTGTGACTGTATATCAGTATATATAATAAACTAATAATAACTTAATAAGTAATAATACGAATAACTAATAAAGTAATGAAAATCTAACCATTGTTTTTCATGGGCATTCAATCTAACCGTTGTATATTTGACTATTCGTACATTAGTATTGCATAATGATTTCATCACCACTTTAGTGATTTCGTGATTTCGTCCATTTAACTTATTAAGTTGTTTGAGTTAGTAATCTAAATAAAGTAACAAACTAAATAACAAATCCATTTAATCTCGTTTAAGTTATAATTTATAAGAAATGCAATGTTTGGAAATGGAAATTGATTTAATACGATATTGTTAAATTAATGTATATGTAATTATAGATTAATTATTATGTATATCATATCGTACGAATGTACGGTTGGTATCATTATCATACTATCATTGCCTCATTGAATTATTGGTATGTACTATAATCGATAAACATATTTATTATTTACATATCTGATTATTAAAACTTAAAAGTTTAAAACACTTGTTGATCAATCTAATTGAATACTTGTACATTCTTAATTATCGATTTATCGTATTATATGTATCAACTCATTAAATCATGGTCATGACGCGATCTTTAAAACAATCATGAATTCATGACCCAAACCGCTTATAAACCGAACCGACATGATCCAAACCGTTCATAAACCGAACCAATTGAACTGTGTAAACCCTCCACTAAACCGGCCCATTTCAAACTGAACCGACATGATTCGCACCGTTTATAAACCGAACCGATATTGACCCGGGTAAACCCACCCCTAAACCGACCCATTTCCAACCAAACCGGCTTGATCCAAACCGTTTGTAAACCGAACTGACATTGACCCGGGTAAACCCGCCCCCTAAACCGACCCGTATCAAACCGAACCGACATAATCCGAATCGTTTATAAACCGACCCGCTTATGACCCAAACCGAATTTAAACCGCAAAGAAATAAACCGAAACCAAACCGAGCCGTGACTAACCCAAACCGAACCAAACCGACCCGCCAGCTAAACTAAACCGTTTCAATCCGAACCGCTCCAAACCGAAACCGACTCAAACCGAGGTCAAACCGAACCGCCAGACCGAAGTCCCACCCCTAATTATTTATCATAATGCTAGTGATGTCATAGTTTGCTATGCTATACTACAATGGTATTGTATATTTCAGATGAATTCATTGTTGCAAATTTTAAACGAATACACGCTCTTAAGTGAGTAAATGTACATACAATCGTGACCGAATTATAATTCTAAGATGACGATCAACTTGTATAAATATACAAAGATTTTTCAAAGCATTACAACTTTACAAGTTTGCAAGCTTAGAATAGCTTCTGATAGGTAATTTGTAGCTCCGTGACCTTTGGGCCATTGTTGTGCACACTTGTGATGGAAAATGGTTCTTCATACAGTTGTGATGGGATCCTCAGAAGATAAACTTTAATTCTGTCAAGAGGAAGCAGTCATCCAAAGCGACAGTCTGTCGGGTGAAGCCCGGAGCTTCTGCAGTGAAATCAATAGCACTTTTGTCTTAAATTTCCTTCTTGTTTGTTTTTTGTTTCTCTGCAGCCTGTTCAGCAAGAAGGGAACAAAAGAAATAAGGAACAATTCATTAATATAAAAACTCATGGTAGTCAACATTATGATAGAATTAAAAACCATGCAATAAATCGCAAACATTAAAATAAAATAAAGAAATCTTCAAACAAACACAACATCATCATCAGTAGTCTAGTAATCCGTATAACCAACAGCCACATAACAGCACTAGCATTAGATAGATAGTAGATACCACAAAGAGATGCCAAAACATAAGATAAACAGTTTCCAAAGTACACCATGGGTTGTTTTACTAATAGGAAGTCGTTAGATACATTTTACAGAAACAAGAACCATGAAGCAAAATGGAGTAGCTATTTTTTATTTTTTTTTCTCGTGATCCAAAACCTAAAAAGTCAATAGAGCTTTATGCCAACCAAGTTCAAATCAGACCTTATACAAAGGGAGTTCATCAATTTCACACAGCTAAAAGATATGACATTTCATTATTATTCTGTTCTGCTTCTGCACTATATTGATGCAAAACATAGCTCACAGCATCGACATTCATAACAAAACTCCAAAACTAAAGACCTATGGAAACAACTTCCGGTAACACTCCCTCAGTCCCTCTGCCTTAACACTATGTTTGAATATGAAGATTGAGAGGGGAAGGGAGGTGAGGGACGGAAACATTTTCCTTATTTGGATAAGAAATAAGACAAGAGAAGGGAAAGGAAATGAAGGAATCCGTATTCCGTTACCCTTCTATAAACCAAATCCCTCCAATGTTAGAGAGATTTGGAGGAAAATTCACTACCCCCCCCCCCCTCCTCCTCTTCCTCCCTTTTCTACCCTCTTTTTCATTTATCTCCCTTTCCCTTTGGATTTTCACAGTCAACATGTGCAGGAAACATAGTACCCAGAGGAAATTTTGTTACAACATCATGAGCCAACACCAATCTCCACAGTCAACAACTCAAACTCAAATCTACGGACACTATATTCATTATTGGCAGTGGGTTTTACATGTCCATAGTCAGCAATCAGCAGAGACACCCAGTATTTGTTTCACTCTCCCTTCCTGTCTCTTGCTCACCCTCAACTGATCATGACAGAGGAGCTAACACTTTGAGATCCTCACTCCCTTCTATTTCAGGAGGATGCGATGTTATCCACACAGCAAGTCGGCAATGGATTAGATGTGACATTATCCTCAAATTGCATATCATTTATCTCTCTGGAGGCAGTTAATAGTAGTTTTCTACCATTGTACAGGGTACATATATAACAGATTAACAGATAAAGAGAGCCATAGTAGTTTTCTACCATTGTACAAGTACATATATAACAGATTAACAGATAAAGAGCGCCAACAGCAAATTTTTCATAATACCAAAAGCCCTACTTTAGCTTAATTACTTATAAGTGAATGAATTAGCAGGCTAAGCATTTAGCTATTAATCAACTAAACCTACACAATTCCTTTTCCTCTATTCACAATCCTCATACAAACTACAGATAGAGAATAACACTATAACAATCACATTATTACATAAAATAAATAACTAACCTTTCTGAGTTTATCAAGAACTGAATCCTCAAACGCCTGAAATCCCGCCCCAACAACATTCCCCATGGGTGCTTCGTCTCGCTCCACCGGAGCTTGGGCTCTAACAGAAGGCATTGGTTTAGTTGGTTCAAGAGGCAAAACCAGCAATGGATTTGATAAATCCCCAATCATAACTCCAGTAGCAGCAACCTATCAAAACAACCACAAACAATCAATTATTCAAATTCATCACTTAAAACAAAATTTCAATAAAATCCAACACTTAAATCAATCAAAATAAGCAAATTAAACATAAATTTCAATACTTACAGCATCCTCTTTTGATCCCATAACAACAAGTGCAGAAGAACAAGAACTCTTCTTCTTAGAACCCTTAATCACAATATTTTCAACATCTCCAAATTCCTCAAACAATTCCTTCAATCGACTCGCGCTATACTCGGAATCGCCCTTCTCCCAACTCACCTTCAACACCTTAATCTTATCCAATGCAACCCCACCAACACCACCCACATTCTCTCCCCTCTCCTCCTCAAAAACTGGTTTCTTCGCCAAACTAGCTTTAATTCTAGCAATTTCCTCAGCCAATTTCTTCATAATAGCCTCCTCTTCATCACGAGCCTTCTTCTCCGGATCAACAAACGATGCCCTTTCTCTCTCCTCCAAATCCGACATCATCCGACGTCGTTTCGCATCGAATTGCTTATCCCGAACCTTCTTCTCTCTCCTAACCCTAAGTAAATCATCGAATTCTTTCCTAGCTTTAGGATCTTTGAGAATTTCGTAAGAAACTCGAAGTTTCTGGAACTTAGCTGGAGCATCTGGGTCGTTGAGATTTTTATCTGGGTGTAATTCAATAGCTTTTTTTCGATATGCTGTGGAAATTTCTTTCTCAGTGAGCTTTGATCCTTCTTCTCCTGTAACTAACCCAAGAACTATGTAATGGTCTATTTCCTCAATTGTTATCTGTAAACCCTAAGAATAAAAAATTTAATTGGGGAAAAGGGATTTTATTTCGATAGTTTTATTTGAAGAGAGAGAAAGAATTGTGCTTTACACTCACTGAGTTATCCTATTCGTTGTCTTCAAAAAACAAAAAAAAAAAAAAGTTATTCTATTTGTTTAACTATCCAAGACTCGTGAGAGTGAAGTGTAGCTTAAGTAGTTATAAGTCCTTATAACTCTTTTTGGATTCTATGTAATATAACTATAAAAAGATCGATTTTCATTTAAAAAAAAAAAAACCATCCAAAGACTCGTTCAACTATTCAAGATTCCATTCCCTCAACTTTCTCTCTCCTACAGTAACAGTAAACCATGAACTACCTATCCATATGTTCTAATTAGGGTTTACAATTAATATCAATTAACACTATGTAACTATGTAGTTGCTTTTTTTCAGGAAATTACAAGTATTTTGATGAGTTGCTGCTAAAAATGACTACTTTATATGGGTTGCTGCTAAATTCTTCCGGTACCAATTTCTTTTACTTTGCTATTCTCTAAATTTTTTTGTTAATTGAACTGTTGTATTGAAGATATTAATAAAAAAATTCACTGCCCTTTTCAATTGATGTAGTTTTGGGTCATAAAAATGGAAACCCAATGCTTTCGTTTCGATATCGATTGTCTACTGAAGCCAATTCTAGAGACTTGATTGCTTGTAATTTTGTACCAAAATGGGTAAATAATTGTCTTCTTGTTCTATTGATTTTATTTTTATAAGCATATTAGTGTTTTGTATAGAATTTCTGAATTGCCCATCTTATATATTGGTAGAATTTAAGGTCAGAGATCAATTATTCAAACAAAAGGCAGATTCGACCTCGGTTTTCGATGTCTAAGGGAGGAAGTTATGGATTAAAGTTTGATGATGAGAGTGATGAGAACCCATTTTGGGTGCAATTTTCTAAGGAAACAATCAGGTATTAGGATTAGAAGAATTTGTGTGGAACTATATTGAGGTTGGGGGAGTAGTAGCTTGTAATTCAACTGAGTGGTTTGTTGTGCCATATTCTTTTCAGGGGTTTGAAGTCATTGCTTGCTCAACAACCTGACAGCTGAAGTACATAGAATGGTCGAGTTTTCAGGACACGGTACCGCCTTTGCCTAACTTTTGGATGCATATTTGTTTATGTGTATTGCAATATTATGCTGCTGTTGATTAATGTAAGCCTTTTCCAGGTTGAAATAATTCCTGTCTAAACTTCAAATACTTGTATATGCTTGTGAAAACATGCTACTAGAGTTCTGATTGGACTTGCGTCCCCTCTCCATAAAAATTGCCTTTATCTCGATGTTTTACAATGGAAACTCTCATTGTATATTGTCTTTGATGATAATTAGACTGATGAAAGCAGAATTGCTTATGTGATCCGACTTTAAACAAAAGTCTCTGAATCAGAATACGTTAAACTGTCAGCTCAATATGTTGATTTGGCTACCTAGATGCTTAGTACCATTTAACATAGTCTAGTGTCTTGTATATATGGAAGTGCATAGATGATGGAGTATCCTGGACATAAAATCTTCTAAATCCTTTGGCTAATCATAGATGAATGTTGTTATGTATACAACAATTTTCTGCCGCAGTGAAATGATTTAAGCCATGCTGGGATAGAACAAAAACCCAAAGTTTATTTGTGTGTGTGTGTGTGTGTTTTTTTCACCAGTATTGACAAATAAGCGTGAATGGAGGACAAGGAATATTCTCTTTCCAACCTAAGAGCAGATGAAACATGGGAGTAATACGAAGTAATTACTTGTACCCTTTTGGAGTTTTGGTACAAGGTTTATCAGTACATTACTCTGTATTTTATTGATGCTATCAGTGTCATTTTTCATGAAGACATGAGATCTATAGGACACTATCTCATCTTATATTGACTTAGATGTCTATCTTATATTGACTATAAGAATGACCATGTATAAGTGCCCATATCTTTTCAACCCCTTAATGAACACCTTAAAGTGATTGAATATGTTGATTTGGTTACAGAGATGTATAATGTCTATAATCTCTCCCAATCGTGATAACTGATTTTTTTAGCCGTCCTTCATTCAAGTCCCATTTAATGGCACCCTAGATTGTATATCAAAGACCTTTAAGGTTAATGCCTAGTCCTTGTTTGAACTGCTATGAGACTTTTCCATGGAAAGCAGTAATTGATGAATACAGAGGATAATATGTCTAATATCTGGCCGTCACTGCCTTGGATTATCAACTAGTTATACTAAAATAATGCAATGAAGATGAAGGATTCAAGATGAAGGATTCACAAATAAGTAGTTGATAATCCAATGAAGATGAAGGATTCTTGACTACCTATGTATGTAACATAATATTGAAATAGCCCTGTAGTTGAATCAAACCCATTCTCGGGGTCTTTATAGACAAGTTGATAAATTTGTTATAATTCCAAATCAACTTATATGACCTTAGGGGATACCCCACACATTCACTTTAATTTTTGGAAAAAAAATCTCAAAATTGACTCGAAAACAGGCTAGAAGATACAGGTTGGTTTGAAGGTAATACAACATTAACACATCATTCAATGATACTTCTGCACTAAGGGTAGTACACAGACTACACACTTCATGTGCCATAAGATATTAAACCAAATTGCATAATAATGGCGAATCAAAATAATAGGCAAACAAGACTTAACTTCTATCATTCTTTTTACCAAAGCCTTTTGTCCTAGTTCACTAGTCCGTACTCTACACTGTATACAATTTAAATATATCATGATGATCCTCACAAAAATGAAATGATGTGATCAAGCTACAGACTAGTCAACGCTACAGATATGTTTAGTGTTACTCTGTGATTAAGCTAGAGTCGAGCCCAAAAACATTTTGCATTATGCAGGTTTTCGCAGAAGCAGAACCAACACATAAGAAAGAGCTGCATCAATTGAGGACAAAGCAACAACAAGCGCAGCTACAAGTACAAGGGTGAGGGTGGCAGTTCGCAGCTGCAACAAAAAACAGAAAGAGGAAAATATAAGATTTTCTACCCCCTAGTGAAATACACAAGGCAGTGACGGCCAGATATTAGACATATTATCCTCTGTATTCATCAATTACTGTTTCCATGGAACAGTCCCATAGCAGCTCAAACAAGGACTAGGCATTAACCTTAAAGGTCTTTGATATACAATCTAGGGTGCCATTAAATGGGACTTGAATGAAGGACGACTAAAAAAATCAGTTATCACGATTGGGAGAGATTATAGACACTATACATCTCTGTAACCAAATCAACATATTCAACCACTTCAAGGTGTTCATTAAGGGGCTGAAATGATATGGGCACTTATACATGGTCATTCTTATAGTCAATATAAGATAGACATCTAAGTCAATATAAGATGAGATAATGTCCTATAGATCTCATGTCTTCATGAAAAATGACACTGATAGCGTCAATGAAATACAGAATAATGTACTGATAAACCTTGTACAAAAACTCCAAAAGGGTACAAGTAATTACTTTGTATTACTCCCATGTTTCATTTGCTCTTAGGTTGGAAAGAGAATATTCCTTGTCCTCCATTCACGCTTATTTGTCAATACTGGTGAAAAAAAAAACACACACACACACAAATAAACTTTGGGTTTTAGTTCTATCCCAGCATGGCTTAAATCATTTCACTGCGGCAGAAAATTGCTATATACATAACAACATTCATCTATGATTAGCCAAAGGATTTAGAAGATGTTATGTCCAGGATACTTCATCATCTATGCACTTCCATATATACAAGACACTAGACTATGTTAAATGGTACTAAGCATCTAGGTAGCCAAATCAACATATTAAGATGACAGTTTAACGTATTCTAATTCAGAGACTTCTGTTTAAAGTCGGATCACATAAGCAATTCTGCTTTCATTAGTCTAATTATCATCAAAGACAATATACAATGAGAGTTTCCATTGTAAAACATCGAGATAAAGGCAATTTTTATGGAGAAGGGACGCAAGTCCAATCGGAACTCTAGTAGCAAGTTTTCACAAGCACAAACAAGCATATACAAGTATTTGAAGTTTAGACAAGAATTATTCCAACCTGAAAAAGGCTTACACTAATCAACAGCAGCAAAATATTACAATACACATAAACAAATATGCATCCAAAAGTTAGGCAAAGGCAGTACCGTGTCTTGAAAACTCGGCCATTCTATGTACTTTAGCTGCATAGGTTGTTGAGAAAGGAAAGCAAGCAAAGACTTCAAACCCCTGAAAAGAATATGGCACAACAAACCACTCAGTTGAATTACAAGCTACTACTCCCCCAACCTCAATATAGTTCCACACAAATTCTTCTAATCCTAATACCTGATTGTTTCCTTAGAAAAATGCACCCAAAATGGGTCCTCATCACTCTCATCATCAAACTTTAATCCATAACTTCCTCCCCTAGACATCGAAAACCGAGATCAAATCTGCCTCTTGTTTGAATAATTGATCTCTGACCTTAAATTCTACCAATATATAAGATGGGCAATTCAGAAATTCTATACAAAACACTAATATGCTTATAAAAAAAAAATCAATAGAACAAGACAATTATTTACCCATTTTGGTACAAAATTACAAGCAATCAAGTCTCTAGAATTGGCTTCAGTAGACAATCGATATCGAAACGAAAGCATTGGGTTTCCATTTTTATGACCCAAAACTACATCAATTGAAAAGGGCAGTGAATTTTTTTATTAATATCTTCAATACAACAATTCAATTAACAAAAAAATTTAGAGAATAGCAAAGTAAAAGAAATTGGTACCGGAAGAATTTAGCAGCAACCCATATAAAGTAGTCATTTTTAGCAACAACTCATCAAAATACTTGTAATTTCCTGAAAAAAAGCAACTACATAGTTACATAGTGTTAATTGATATTAATTGTAAACCCTAATTAGAACATATGGATAGATAGTTCATGGTTTACTGTTACTGTAGGAGAGAGAAAGTTGAGGGAATGGAATCTTGGATAGTTGAACGAGTCTTTGGATGGTTCTTTTTTTTTTTTTTTTAAAATGAAAATCGATCTTTTTATAGTTATATTACATAGAATCCAAAAAGAGTTATAAGGACTTATAACTAATTGAGCTACACTTCATTCTCACGAGTCTTGGATAGTTAAACAAATAGAATAACTTTTTTTTTTTTGTTTTTTGAAGACAACGAATAGGGTAACTCAGTGAGTGTAAAGTTGTAAACTAGATTTTCTGAAAAGTAATTTTGGCTAATTTATTGGTGTCTAATAATTTTAATTATCAACAAATATATGAAACATAATGATTATTTTTCAGCCCTTATCCTAAGTTAACAAGATAAATAAATAAAATTATGTTTTTTTTTTTACAAAATTAACGTTTTATTTGAGTTGTTACGGTTTGATAATACTAACCACTTTACCTTATTTGTGTAACAAACTTTAAATTTATCTTTTAATAAAAAAAAAAACTTGGTTCGTTATATTTTTTCATCTACAATTCCATATTCCTAATTCTACTCAAATTCTTATTGCCTCCAAAACCCCACTATATATACATCCCATATAATTTTTCCACCCAAAAAAATTATTCCACTCTAAAAATAAATCTACTCAACAAAGAAATTCTGCATTATTCTCTTCACTATGTCCTCAAAAGACCTAATAACAACCATCGGCGTAGACATGAATAACGAGTAATCAAACATAAAATTGTTATCATAAAAAAGTTGATATAAATTATGCTATTAATATAAACTTTCATGGGTCAATTAACCACATTAGTATAAAAGTTAGCATTGTGATGACAGTTTGACACATTATATAAAAATTATCACCCGCGACAAATTGGTAAAGAAGTTAACATAGTAAATTGGTATAAGAGTTAACAAATTTCGACAGTTTACCTTTTTTTTTATGATTTTTAAATTTTATACCAAAGTACAAGAATTGTGAGTGGGTCACTGTTAGGAAATATGGGTGGTGTTATATTATGTTTAATCATTGCATAATAAGTCAATGAAAAACATGAACGAGAAAAGCAATAAAGAAGATAAACAAATAACACAAAACATTTACGTGGTTCTGTCATATTAGACCTACATCCACAGGTTGGGGATTCGAGAGCTTCTTCGCTATGATGGAGAAAGAATAAGAGAATAATACAAGGGAGTCATAATTCTTAATGGCTCAAAATGTGTGATCTAATTGATCAACTAAAGAGTCCTTTAAGCCAATCATACAAGTATACATTTTAAGTACGTAATGGTAACAAACTAACAAACTAATAGAGGCCTCAGACAAACTAGGCCCATTTAATAAATGTTGGACTTGGGCAGAATGTACAAAGTATGACATTAGGCAC